GGAAAATACAAATTTGTAAAGCTTGTAAAACTTGCAGTCCAGAATGAGCTCTTTTGACTGTCTTAGCACATAGTAGGTGTTTAATTAAAAAATTGTCAAGCAAAATCAGTGAATTATACTCACGGATGTTTTTGTTTCCTGTGGAGGGGGTCATAAAGTATCCCAGACTGGGTAGCTTAAATAAAACAGACATGTGTTTTCTCACCATCTGGAGGTCAGAAGTCCAAGGTCAAGGTGTGGGGTGGCTGGTTCCTTCTGAGGCTCTGAGGGAGGATCTGTTCTGTTTTCTCTCCAGCTGCTGGAGCTTTGCTGCCATCTTTGATGTTCCTTGGTTTATAAAAGCGTCACCCAGAACTCTCCCTGGAAGTTCTATGGCAGTCTATCTCACTGTGCATTTGTGTCCAAATTTCTCCCTTTTTCCTTCCCTTTTCCTTTTTTCCTTTTTTTTTTGATGTTTGCCATAAGGCACGTACACTCACCAAAGAGAAACAGAAAGAGACAGTGAAAAGGAATGTGATAAATCACCCCCCAGGGGAGTTGGTCATGCTGTAATCCCTTCTCCTCCACTTTCCTCCCCAGATTTTGAACACACACATGTGCCCAATGTGTTTTTCTTTCTTTTTTTTTCCAAGCCAAACTGTATCCAGCTTTATTAAAGATACTTTTCATAAATAATCATGGTATTTTGTGCAGGACATGGGCAGACAATCGTTAACAATATACAACAACTTTCAAACTCCCTTCTTCAATGGACTACCAAAATCAGAAAACCAGTATAAAACCCAATAAAGTCTTCATTTGATACTCTCAACAGGGAAAGTTTAGAGTGAGGGTTGACATTTCACATTTAGCATGTTGTTTTAACTTTTCACGAGCTGACCCTGACCTTCGGGAAATGAAAATGACTGTGCATTTGTGTCCAAATTTCTCCCTTTTTCCTTCCCTTTTCCTTTTTTCCTTTTTTTTTTGATGTTTGCCATAAGGCACGTACACTCACCAAAGAGAAACAGAAAGAGACAGTGAAAAGGAATGTGATAAATCACCCCCCAGGGGAGTTGGTCATGCTGTAATCCCTTCTCCTCCACTTTCCTCCCCAGATTTTGAACACACACATGCCAGGTGTGATTCTCAAGCTGACAGGTCCGGGACTTGAACCGTGTTCAGCCATGTGGGAATCCAATACCTTAATCATCACACCACCTTCTGGTTCCAGATTTCTCTTTTTTGAGGACATAGTCCTATCTGATTAGGGGCCTACCCTACAACAACATGATCTCATCATAACCAATCACATCTGTAATGACCTTACTTCCAAATAAAGTCTCATTCCAAGGTCCTGGAGGTTAGGTCCCAACATAAGAATTGGAGTGGTTTGGGGGGAAGACACAGTTCAACCCACAACTATGGATAACTGCTTGTTTTCATCCTGCGTGGCACCATTTTTTCAAGGGCACTGTGGGGAGAGGGTGTGCCCTTGCTATCCAGGGGCGGTACCTGGACACTCCCCCTAGCTCCTGCCTAGATGGCCTTCTCCCTTCCTTCTCAAACATATCGTTTTGTGGCTGAGGCACTCACCGGCCATGCTCTGAAACCCCTGTCTTCCACGAACTTCCAGACTCCACCCCCTCGTGAATTTATGCCACTTCAATTTCCGGCCAGCAGCTTAAGTATAATGTGTGATAAACAGAAGAGATCATCCTGTTTTTGTGGTTTTCTAAGGCTTGAAAAGCAATTTAAAATAATTTTAGGTTGTCCTGGGGTTGGCCAACACTGTAATAGGCAATTTGAGAAGACAAAGTTTTCTAAAAGGAAGGATTTTGCCTCCTTGTTTCTAATTTTTAGAAACATGATCAATGTCACCCAGCGAGCTTGGGGCTGACAGTTTCCCAGAATGATTTTCTTGCACACTTGGCCCGGGCGAGGCATGGGGCAGGCCAGGGCACCAAGAGTCGTGCCCACTCTGCTGAGGGAGAAAGGCTTTACTTCTCCTCAAATCAGAAACCTGTGCCTGGTCTCCCTTAGCTCATACTTGCGTCTGTAAGCAATCTGAAGGCATTGCTGACCGGACAGAAAACTTTTCCCGATGTGCAGCCCAGCTAAGTGTGTCTGGAAATGAAGGCTGGGAAGTGTGAGGGATTGCTAGCTAAATGCAGGCGGCAGGCGAGTGGCTGGAAAGAGGCATGGTCAAGTGGGGTGACCTGCAAGAGAAATGAGGTCACGGTCTTGCTGTGATCCTGGGATACAGCATCTGGGCAGCAATTCCAGAGGAGGGGGCTGTTGAGTGGACCGGGGGAAACGGTGTGGGCAGGCTGGCCAGAGCTGACAACAGGGACCATGGTATCCTGCCTTGCTGGACCCTGGGTGTGCCTTCCCTCTCCAATAGACACCTCAGCTCCTATGTGTCATGCTGGGGTGGGCGGGGCCCCAGTGCCAGTTCTGTCATCTGTTGTCATGGCCCCATTCTCCCTCCTCGGCCTTCGGTTAACAGGCTGGCATCTATCTGTGCTGGATGACCCAGAGCTTGAGAAAAATGTTTTCTGGTATGAGCCCTCACCTGAACTCAGGGACAGATAGTCTGGAGGGTGGGTCCTGGGGGATGGGGCCCTCCTCAGGGACAGGGGCCCAGCTTCCTTTCCACTGGCTGTTGAATGTACAGCAAAATGCAAGTTGAGCAAGTGCCTTGGACATGGGCTCCTGTGGGTATGAGAGGGGGGCCGAAGTGGCTGGGGGGGGGCCCCC